GAGGTACAGGAGGTGCAATGCTAACAAAATATATTGTTACAGGATATAAGGCAGCCAGGTAGTAAGCATGTTAATAAAAATATGAATATTAAAAGGTTACTCTAACCACAAACAGTGTTTTAATAAAACACTAATTTTGGTTGTAGTAATGCCTGCTGGAATGTTCATTGTCTTAAATAAAAATCAATAAAATGCCTGCAATCTCATGCCAAGGCGAAGTTCTCCCTGAAGCGTATGTCCAGGATCTCACACCTCACAGGCAATGGGTGACCTTTGATCAGACTAAGCATGTCTGGAACATCTAGGATAGAACATTTTTGTAATAATATTCCAAAATGTTGACATAATTAGATTTTTTTTTTTATATATTTCAACAAAAATTTAGGGAGATTACCCCACCTGCCAGTTTGGACCAGCATCCTTTACTTGCATTACTACTTATCTGCTCCAAGCAACTCTCCTACAACTTAAGTACTTCTCAGGACACTTATTATGGAGCACTAGGGTGTAGAGGGGTAGAATAGCGGGGCATGGTACTTTACTCAGAAATTCTGGACTAGACCCATAATATACACAGAATTTACCCCATGTGTTCAACTTGTGTTATGACCCACCATTATTAAAGTTCTGTGGTGGCCTTCACACAGTATGGCCTTACTGTTAAATTAAATCCCCACATTCTGGACAAAAGACGAGTTTCTAAGGTCCATGACCACTACATGCTATTCAAGTGTATATGGTAACCATATGCTGACAGGGATCCCCCTCTGTTTTTGAGCAGTTTGACTTAACATTTGGACCCCCCCAAAAGCATCTAAAGCATGGCCTGCACTTGTCAGTTTGCTAATGATAATGTTCCTCTCCCACATTAGTAATATAAACTTCATCCATACTTGGACAGCATTGAAAGGGTAAGTGTACCTGCAAAAATTATATTGCACACACGGAAGTGGACATTTTACATTAGCAATAGGCAATGAAGGGTTTGTATCACTGGGGCAGTGTTAACCCATGGCTTTTGTCAAACTGCTCAAAAACACTTTGACTCAGAGAAGTGTGCCCACAGCCTAGTAGCACCATAACTACTGCACAATCATACAATGGTTATGGTACTCAGAGTGCCCCTTTAAAGAGACATGAAACATTAAACAATTTGATCTGTTTATATATTTTGTAGAAACTGAGGTTATTTCAGAGGCAAGACTACAAAATAATGCTTATTCTGGGTCGTGACTCTTAAATTCTATTTTTGCTATAGACATATATCAGCTAATAATAACCTGACCTTGTAGTTCAGTATACCAACATGAAGAACCAAAAGATCACGCAAGTGAAAAGTTATGAACAAAAAGCTAAGGCACAGTTACTGTGTGACTACGTATGTGTGAATGTGTCAGTATAGTGATACGTTGGTGTTTGTGAGAGTGGCGTCTGTCTAATTTAAGAACTGTATATATGGCTAATTATACATGCTGTGTGTACATAGCTATTAGGTAAGTGTGTGTAAAATTATGTATATATAAGTGTGTGAATGGCTAGTTATATACACATGTATTTAAGAGTGCTTAATTAGATGAGTTGGCATGGCTTCAGGAGTTATGAAGGTTTTTTGTTTTAAAAACTTTTAAAATTCTTTATAGTTTTTAGTTTTTGTTTTGTTTTTATATACATTATTTGCTGGGCAAAGCTCAGCAAAGTATGCAGATCAGATAACTCTTGTAGTGCTGTTTGTATAGGGCATGCGTGCATTCTCTGCCACTGAAAAAAATGTTGGGTGTGCATGTGCAAGTATGGCATTTCTCCGATAGATGCCTGAGGAGCCTGCATGTGGAAAATGCAGGGGAGGTAAGTAAATAAAATTTACTTACCTCCCCTGCATTTTCCACATGCAGGCTCCTTGGGCATCTAGTCCAGAATTTTTGAGTAAAGTACCATCCCCGCTATTCTACCCCTCTACACCCTAGTGCTCCATAATAAGTGTCCTGAGAAGTACTTAAGTTGTAGGAGAGTTGCTTGGAGCAGATAAGTAGTAATGCAAGTAAAGGATGCTGGTCCAAACTGGCAGGTGGGGTAATCTCCCTAAATTTTTGTTGAAATATATAAAAAAAAACATCTAATTATGTCAACATTTTGGAATATTATTACAAAAATGCTCTATCCTATAGATGTTCCAGACATGCTTAGTCTGATCAAAAGTCACCCATTGCCTGTGAGGTGTGAGATCCTGGACATACGCTTCAGGGAGAACTTTGCCTTGGCATGAGATTGCAGGTATTTTATTGATTTTTATTTAAGACAATGAACATTCCAGCAGGCATTACTACAACCAAAATTAGTGTTTTATTAAAACACTGTTTGTGGTTAGAGTAACCTTTTAATATCCACTAGTCTGCTCACTGCAGTAAACACTGAAATAGTATATACTGAAGGAAAGGATCAAGGAACTGAGGCATGTTAATTGTGTATGCTTGTAGTTATCCAGATGCAGTTTAATAATACTCTGTTTTTAAAAGCTGAAACACATGCAAGGTTACTAAGGAATTAAAACAGCATATCCAAGTGTACAGTGAAATATGTAGGTAAGTAGTGAAACTACAAAACACTCACCATTTCCAAATATATAAAATGTAGGTTTCACTCAAAAAAGTGAGAAAGAGAAAAGAAATACACATATAGTGCAACACAATTAAGTGGGTAAATATACAGAATTAAAGGGTGTACAAAGTCACACTCACATAGACATAGCCTCTAGGTTGGCTATGAACTCTGAAGCTCCTGTACTTTTTAGGCAGTACAACACCCTCCTAGTTAGGTGGCAATCCAGTCAAACCAGAATGGGAAAAAAAGGTATGAAAAATAAATATAGTATAATAACTTAATACACATATATAAAGTAATGGCATCAAATAGCAGTGCTCCTCTTGAAAAGAGCCTCAAAGACTGACTCTGATGTTTAGTGCTGCTTGTGTGAATCTATCAGTGTGTCAGTATTTGTATCTGTGTGTCAATGTGTGCCCCTATGTATCTGTGTATCTGTATGTGTATTAGTGTGTGTATTATCTGTGTGCCTGTGTATCTGCATGTGTGTCATTGTATGTGTCTCTGCATGTGTGTGTATATGTGTGTCTATTAATGTGTGTGACTGTGTGTGTCTGTGTTTCTGCATGATTGTACCTGTGTATCTGTATGTGTGTCAGTGTATTAATCTGTGTGTCTGCATATCAACCTGTGTATCTGTATTTGTGTCTGTATATCTATCAGTGTGTATGTATGTGTGCCTGTGTGTCAATGTTTACCCCTGTGTATCAGTGTGTGTCTGTGTATCCGTAGGTGTGTCTATGTTTGTATCTGTATGTGTATCAGTGTGTATATCTGTATGTGTGTCTGTGTGTATATGTGTGTCTGTGTATCTGGATGTCAACATTGCTGTGTATAAATAGCAGTGTCCTGTGCAATAAAGGCCCTTCCAACTCTACATTCACTTGTCTAATGTGTGGGGGGGAAAGCTATAATAAAGCTATAATAATAATAAGGGTTTTTATGACTGCCTGGTCCAGAGGAAGAGGTCATCAGAAGTCTCAGTCAATCTTTGGTGACTAAATCTGAAATGATCCAGAGTCCCCTGATAGTAGCAAGGAAACTACCTGGCTGAGGCACTCAGTTGGAGTACAGAAGCTCTGTCACAGCCCTGGTGCAATACGTTTTTTGGGCCTCCCCCACCAAAAGGGTGGCCAAAAAACATCCCCCACAGTGCTTTACCAGCTGGGATCTACCACTTTTCCATCCTTGCAGGGTTGTATTTTTGAGAAATGTTTGTGTTTGAATGTAAAAGTGCATGTAGTATGCGTGTGTGAATGTAGAGGTGTATTTGTGTGTAGTGATGGCATTTGAATACTGTTGTGTGTTTGTATGTACTGTTGAATTTTGAATATCGGAACATATGGAATTTTTCCAAAACCAAAATGCCAGCAAGTTGTCTCTGCACGAGAACCCCAGATGAGGTCCAAAAATGGCTGAAACGATCCTCTGGGCTTGCTGTATCTCTTGTGCAGAGAGAACGTTTCGTTTCCAGCATTTCATTTCTGGACTACCCTTATGCATGGAAACTGATATGCCTTGGAACTGGTTCTCTCTGTAATGGCACAAGTGAGCAAAAACGTTAATGAGACCTGAGCGGGGGTTTACCGAAGGGCAAGCTACTGAGTTCCTCTAAGCTTTTGTCCATTCTTAGAGTCCTCATATTCTCTGTTTGAATTTCTAAGCGCTGTCTAAATTCAAACTGTGTTTGAATTTAGACATTGCCCACTGCAAAATACATAATTCCCTTTATATGTGCATTCAAAGGGAATACACAAAGTCACCCAGCATGCACCAAAGTACTATTGCACTTTATAATATATGCACCTTAATTGACTGTGTTTTAAGGGCATGTTGCAATTTTCACTAATATTGTCTTAAAGACACAGCGCACCTTAACTTTCGTTTTATGTCTAATAGTGTTTTGTAAGCTTGTACACTGTAAGGTGCAGCTTTCTTACCTCTAATCTATTTTATTGTATCTGTTTAGCGCCTATTTTACTTGATTTTGTTGTTTTTTTGTCTAAAGGGAATACACAGCTATGAGTAAGCAGCCGTACAACTCAACACTCAAACAATGAGATAGATATGTGAAACTCCTCATACTTCATAGAGTTCCTGCTCTTCTTGACCATCAGGTATTAGTAGTTTGACCTTATTTTATTTATAATTCTTTATTTTTGATGTGCATTTTGATATCAGAAATAATGTCACAGACACAAATAAGTCAGCATAACGAGGAAATGTCAATCAGTGAATGTGTACATAAGATCAGCACTTTTTTTTAAGCTGCAAAAAAGAGAAACCCAGTTCTATGCTTAAAAAACTAAAGACAGAGAAAGAGCAGAATATAGGCAGTGGAAATAAATGTAGCATATAGAAAAAAGCAGGTAGCTATATCAGTAGTGAGAATACATTATACATTAGATATGGCACAAGGAAGTCCCCCGGGCTACTCGGTTCAACCAACACCCGAACTGCTGGGCCTCCAACACCCGAACTGCTGGAACTACATCCAGCATAACATGCGCTGAGGCCTGTTCATGAAGACTTCCGATCTCCAGCAACGCACTGCCACCATCTTGAGAGGACAGGAGTGGGTGTCTGGCAGGAATGTTTTCCTGCGCCTGTTGTCGATCTCCTGTCGATGTGGGAGCAGGAGCACCATGTGGGTCTGTATAATCATAAGTGTCGAGACAGGAGTAATCAAACACTGGTTCCTCTCCACTCACCGCATCAAGATCCGTGGAGCCAGCAGGAACCCCCACATGGTCTTTGATAGGTTCGCAGTCGATTAGAGGTGTGGAAGGTGCCCTCCCTCTTTCTTCCATGCGAGTCAGGAAAGCTTCAAAGATAGCATTCAGCTTCTGGAGTGTTGACTCATGTTGTGCCGAGACAACAGGCCCACTCGTCATCATGTCAAGGGTATGCCTCTGGTGGGGCATATATTGCAACTTGGGCAGATGTTTTTCTGGGACTGGGATGACCCCCGCTGGTCCAGAGAGGGGTAACGAGGGTCGAGTTTTGAGTCTCCAGTCATCAGTGGCAGCAGGAGAGCAGCCACCTCCCCCGCACCGACCATGCTTGTAGGCCGCAAGATATGTTCGGGTGATTCCTTCAGGTATGTCGGTTTAAGTGGTATCCCCATGGTCACCACGGTGTCCCCGTTCACCTAACAGCCACAATATATCAAGAAGTGCCTTTTATCAGCAGATTTTTGGCAAAATTCAACATAAAATTCAGGAGCTTCTGCGGCTTGTGCCTGACCCACTCAGCAGTCAGGCCCCGCCCCCAACTTTATTTTATTTAAATTGTGTCTTTGTGTGTGTGTATGTGTTTTTTTTAAATTTAAATTGCACTAAAGTATCATAACTATACTGAACTCAAATCTAATTTTATCATAGTTTAGTCACCCAGCAAGTTAAAATATTCACATAAGGATGTTCACTTACAGTGCAGGAAAGATATCATTTTAACAACCAGCTCAGTTACTTGAAGTACACTAAATTGCTGAAAACAACCTTCTAAATCTTATTGTTTTAATATACTTACAGTAGTACAATATATCTGGTGGTATATAAACAAGTTAAAGTATAAATATTTACGAGATACATTAGCATAACATAATTTTTTGTTTATTTTTTTGCAGCAACTGATGGGACAAATAAGGTTACCATTCTGTCTGATTTATAATGAAACCCGGAAATCTGTTGAGCCCAAAATAGCAAGAGCAATATATTCATCTTTTATTTTGTTGATAATTCTACAGTTTGATTTCACATTGCTCTGACAGGGAGTCGGCCAGCAGGATGCCTTTCTGCTTCTAATGTTACTGTGAAATGAGGTATAAAAACCCAACTTGCAATAAAAAGTTACATGCAATTATTAAAGACAATAGAAGCTAAAATATGACTTTGACTTTCATTAAATTGCAATCTACAAAGTTCACAATTGTGTTAGATTTTTCACAAGTCAAGACAATATTTATTTAAGGGAAATTAATTAACTATAAGCACATATTAAATGTGGGATTTATCCTCCACCATAAAATCTATGGACAAATCATTTTATATTATATATGAACTATAATGCAGCACTTTCAGAACGGAATATACTCGCTGACTCTTTCCCAGTTTGTTAATAGTATTTTTTTTCAAAAACAGAATGGAAGTTTTGTACCAAAAAAAATGTGTATAATGGGAAGACAGCATCACTATTTCCTGTTTCCTGCACCACGGGAAGCTCGTAGGTTCTCAGCAAATCTAAGAATCTGATTGGCTATGTGGGTCTTGCCAAACTAATGAGCAGAGTGAAACATTGTTTATACAAAGCATCTTTCTTCCCAGTAGCAAATTAGCTAAATCTGAAAAAAACAAAACACTGTCAAATGGAAATCACACCGCTGAATCAAATATTTAAATTTGCCGATGACTAAAGATAACCTTTTTATGCAATGCAATGCTTTTTAAACAAATATATTTAAGGATTTAGCAAGTGACATCACAACCCAGTTCAGTTTTGGCAGCGAAAGGGTGATTTATATTTCATTTACTTATGAATGTATCTTTTTTTGCTCTTTATATTATGAGTTATTTGGCTGATTTGGTAAATGTTACAGTAGAAACATTGGGGGGGGGGGGAAGCTAAAAATTCTAAAAGAGGAATAAAACGTGTCAGAAATATGGAATATTTTGTTCCATTGCAAAAAAGGCTGAAAATGCTCCCAATGTTTAAAGGCATAATTGCAGTTTTACATATATAGAAATGGTGCCTTTGCGCATAACTGGCATGAAAGTGAAAGTAAATGCAACAATTTTCATGCATATCCGTACAGTGTTATTTACTAGAGTGAATTTAAAATTTAAAGCTAGAATAAACTGAAAGCATTGCTTTTAAACTTAAATTTAAAATTCACTCTGAATTCTCACTTATGTGAATAACACTGCTAGGGAATAACCCTGACATTGCTTCTGTTTTGCCTACTCTATTTAATACCCAGATAGAGACATGGGTCTTGCCACCAAGGATGTCCTTTTCCCCATCTCTGGATCTCCGCTGTGAAGACTTCAGTGATGATAGCTGTTGAGTGATTATAGCTTTCCGCCACAGACATTAGCCGAGACTTAATGCTTGGGGTGACATGGTACATGCAATTTATACACAGACCCCCAGCAAGGGGTCTCCATACAGTTCAATACAAACTCCTCCCCAGCATCCCTGTGTCTGGGAGATAATTGAGTGTACTCTACTTTAATTATCTCCCAGGTACAATATACAAAATATAAAACACCCCAAAACACACACAATACTACAAGGGACACCCACAAGTCCTATATCCGAGGATAGCCTGGATCTGAGCACCCAAAGTGTCCAAATAGCGCTCAGATCCCACGAACACAGCCGAATCTTCACCATGGTAAAGTTTTGACTGCCCGCACACGTGGTGTCTTCCCATAATACTTTCATAAGAAAAGTGGTAGCGGTCGGTCACTTTCGGGAGTCCCAAAATGAAATAAATACCAAACAGGTCTCCTGGCTCATAAGTAGCGATTGTTTTCCTAGTTTGTGCGAACAATCCTACCAAACAGCGTTCTACTGAGGTGTTAAGAAAAGAAGCAGGCGATGGTATGAGTTCACAAGTTAGTCTGTCTGATTTTAGTTCCACGCACTCGACGTCTGAACAATGCTGCCTGCTTTCTGCGTCAAGATGGCCGCCAACTCATTTCCCACGTGTTCGTCCATGCGAACGACGGCCACCCAGCAGAATATTCAAAATAACTAGGTTCGTACAGATGATGGGTGTCTCAGGAGAGGAGGTTAACAAGCCAAGAAGGGGTCCGAGTACCGGGTGTATAAAGGGGGTTTGTTCGGTTCCCAAAATATAAGTAATAAACGAACTGCCAGCAGTGGTTTGGTGACTGGGTGTCCTTTATAACAGTGATTGACAGGATGCCAAGTGGAAGTGCACAGTTCCAGGAGAGGGCAAAATACAGCTGTGTAGAGTTCTAAATTCAATTTTACTTTTACACGTATGAGTTAAATATAGGGGCTAAATAAACATAATAATAAAAATATTAAAGGAACACTCTATTAGAAAAATACAAGTTACTAGATATACTACCAAAGAAAATATTATGTAATTTGTGTGACATTTTTTCTTTGTGGATATATAAAATCTTGTTTTGCAATAGCTGCAAATCTAGTATCTGCAGCAACTGCAACCGCTCCCCTTCTTCCCCAGCACAAACTTTCTATGGCTGCCCATTTATTGACTTCTCTGTGATCTATATTACAGCTCATTGAGAAGTCTTTGTAAGGAAGGTGAGCTAGGCAGTTGATGCCTCTTGAGATTATCTCCATTGATTCAAACTACCAGTAAGTAATAGAACTAGCTGTCTGACTGTGTCATGATATCTTAACTTAGTTCCGTGGGCCAACGAGGAGGTGCCCCGGTTGCAGACTCTTCCCGGTGTCGGCATGGCACGTTGGACACCGTTCGCTCCACACACGTCCCCTTTTATGACACAGCACGCCGACATCATAGTGGTTATGCTGCGAAAATTCAAAGTATTCCACGCTCCCTGAAGTTTTCGGGGTTTGAATTTAAAACAAAAGAGCGTCTTTTGCTTTAGTTCAGTGCCCTATTGTGGTTCACTAGTTGTTCCCTCTTGTGCTATACAGAATCCAGCCTGTGGTATTTGGTATTTGACTTGGCTTGTATATTATTGACTATTCTGCTTTCTGGTATCCTAACTCGGCTCGTTTTCTCATTTATCCTTATTCTGGTTTCCTGACTCGGCTATTCATTATCATTATCCTGATATCTGTTTTTTCCTAGACTTTGGCTATTCCGCGACTATTCTATCACTATAAGTTTTCTAGTTTAGGTTACATTCTGCGTGTTGGGTTCACTTTGTCGTGACAGACTAAAATAAACCCTTTTATAAAATGAAAAAAAGGACAAGACTCTCTTCACCTATAAAGCACCTCAGCAAGATGAAGTCTTTTACATGACTGGAGTGTTGCTTTAAAAATACTGGGATGTGACAGTTCTCCTTTAGATGTTTACTCCACACACCATGACCACCTCAGTGATTTAAATTAAGTGCCTGGAGTCTGCATGCACAGCGTTCACTTTGAATGGCTGCACATATGAAGATTTACCCCTCTGGGTTGCATAACTTAACTTTCGACATCATCACTGGCAGTATCATCAGCACATACAGAATTGCAAACATTTTGCAACTGTTTGCCTTCATCTTTGGTACTACTGGGTACCTGTTGTCCTTTAAGGCTTCTGCCGAGATGTCGATCCTGACAGCCATTCATTAGCTGAGAACATCAGCTGACCTCTCTCAGCCAATGAATGGCTGTTAGGATAGGCCAGTGGCTCCAAGTAAGAGTAAACTATGGCAAAATAGTTTGCCCCATTGTCAGGAATTACTGCAGCGGGCGGTAGTGGTTATAACACTTGGAGTAACTATTTAAGGCAAAAAGAGAAATTGTAGGTTAATGTAGCTTTTCTCTTAGAACCCCTTTATTGCTGGCTCTAGCAATGTTCTAGGACAATCATGATTTATTATGAGATTGTTAGAACACAATAAACTAAAGTACTAAGGTAGACTGCTAGCATAATTCCTCAGGTAGAATTCATTGGCTATAAACATGTTTATATCAAGGTTCTTTCAGCACAGATTTTATAGCTCAGTGCCACACTGGACATCGGCTGTTTTCTTTTACAACCAGCTATCAACAGCAGTAATACTAATTGTGTGCAGAATTAAGAATACACTCATGGGGTGATTGTATAGTAGTATACAAAACCAATATATACCTTTTGTTTAAAATAGAACATTAAACAGTTGGTTATTCTCAGAAGTATCCATATATCACATATACAGCTATGAAATTACAA